TGAACCCCCCGTCCACCTACAGCGAAAAAAAAAAAAATTTCAACTTCTTTCCTTTAGGCTTCGGCTTCGTAACGTTCGAGAACGAAGACGTGGTGGAGAAGGTCTGTGAGATTCACTTCCACGAAATCAACAGCAAAATGGTGAGCAGCGCCTCCTGTCTGTGGTCATCGGAGAAACTTTTTTCTTTTCTTTTCTTGGATTTATCGATCTGTCTGTCGTCAAACAGGTAGAGTGCAAAAAGGCTCAGCCCAAGGAGGTGATGTCCCCAACAGGCTCAGCCAGGGGGCGCTCTCGCGTGATGCCCTATGGGATGGATGCCTTCATGCTGGGCATCGGTATGCTGGGTAAGGTGGTATCGATCTAGACAGGAAGGATGTGGCAAAAAAAAAAAAAACTTGACGCCTGACTGGGACGAAGAGGTGCTGCGACCCTAAAGGTCACGAGGTTCCTCATTAGCAGGGAGGGAGGGGGGAGAAAAGGGGGGAGACAGAGAGAGAGGAGGGACAGCTTCAGTCTGGTTTTACAGGTGATGATAATGTTGATTATTCTCGTAAATTCATTAGAAAAAAACCAAAAGTTTGTTTGATGCTGAAGAATCACTTTCTGCTCAGACAAAGAACCGGAAAAAGAAAATGGCGGAAAAAACGGGAGTGAACGTCGGCACCTGCCGTTAGCTGCGGTTCAGTCTGGAAACAAACATTAAAAAAAGACTCCATTTACACATAAAACGACAAAAAAATGTTTATTTTTTTTCTTAAATTAAACTTTTTTCTCTATTATTTATTTATTGAGAATTCTTGATCTAAACGGCGCAAGAAAAGCAACAATACTACCGTTGAACTCGTGCTAACCGGAGTTAGCCGAACAGCAACAGTGTGAGGGAACAGTCTCAATGACTGAAGTATTCGTTTTTCAAAGTCTACTTCACAGCGGCCACGGCTTAACATCTGAAACACTGCTCCCTCCTACTGTTCAGTAAGACGAAATACACCTCACAACAGATGAGATGAACGCCGCGACATGAACCACAAAAACACGCAATAACCGTAGAAGAAAACATTAATCTGAATATATACACATTTGTTTTATATATATATATATATATATAAATATATATATATAAACATATAACATATATATGTGTTGTGTGTCCTGTGGTGACGTTGTTCCCTCAGGTTATCCCAGCTTCCAGACGGCGACCTACACCAGTCGAAGCTACGCTGGTATCACCCCTGGATACACCTACCAGTTCCCCGGTAATTACGACGTCACATTGTCTTACTGTCACCGTAACGGCTGCTTGTAAACATCAGGGAGAGACTTAAAACAGTCGGTACCGTAGTATTGTGCACGGGGCGGTAACAGTTCCCGACCTACAGTAGGTGAGGAAGGTTGTATGTATGTCAGTGACCCACGTGGGCCAACATGCCCTGGCCTGCTTGTTGCTGTCCTTGAACCTGTGTGTGTGAGTTTGTGTCTGTCGACGTGCATGTGTACTGTGTTGCCACACGGTGGCGGCGGCGTGTCTCAACAGCATTCTGATGTTTCTGTTTTAGAGTTCCACTTAGAGAGGACCCCCCTCCTGACTTCACCCCACCCCCCTGAGCTCACAGGTCAGTCGCTTCCTCCTCTGGACTTTACAAGCAGCTTGTGATCACTCTGCTACGCACCAACGTGTCAGCACGCACACGTGTGCACGCGCTACATGTTTGTGTGTCTTCAGTTTCGCATTGTTTTGTTATATCTGAAATCAGTCGCATCAATAATCAGATCAATTAATCAGAGGCACGATAAACACATTTTTGAAAAAAATTGGTTGACAGTGTCATAGCTGTTGTAGCTAAAGTTAGCTCTGGTGTCAGTACCAGGACTGTTGTAGCTAATGTTAGCTCTGGTGTCCGTACCAGGATTGTCGTAGCGAATGTTAGCTCTGGTGTCTGTACCAGGACTGTTGTAGCTAACGTTAGCTCTGGTGTCCGTACCAGGATTGTCGTAGCGAACGTTAGCTCTGGTGTCTGTACCAGGACTGTCGTAGCTAACGTTAGCTCTGGTGTCTGTACCAGGACTGTCGTAGCTAACGTTAGCTCTGGTGTCTGTACCAGGACTGTCGTAGCTAACGTTAGCTCTGGTGTCTGTACCAGGACTGTTGTAGCTAACGTTAGCTCTGGTGTCTGTACCAGGACTGTTGTAGCTAACGTTAGCTCTGGTGTCTGTACCAGGACTGTTGTAGCTAACATTAGCTCTGGTGTCCGTACCATTTTTTTCTATTTTTCCTCCTGCAGCCATTCCTCTCACAGCGTACGGACCAATGGCAGCAGCAGCGGCAGCAGCAGTTGTCATCGGTACAAAAATGAAAACACAGATTTTTTTTTTCTGCTTCTCTAAAGTGAACATGAACATAATCTGAACACTGAAACGTCCAGGTTCTACTCCGTCCCGCTCAGCTGGATTTCTGGGAACCACCAGCCCAGGTCCAATGGCAGATCTGTATGGAACAGCCAGTCAGGAGTCGGCTGTCAGCAGCTACCTGAGTGCTGCAAGCCCCGCCCCCAGCACTGGATTCAGCCACAGTTTGGGGGTGAGAGAAAAAAACTGCTCTGTGTTTACTCTACAATGAAACAAAGTCAGAAAACTGAACTGTGTGCTGCCCCCTACAGGGCCCTTTGATCGCTACGGCCTTCACTAATGGATATCACTGAGTGTCAGTGTCTGGACGTCGGCTGTTGTCCCCCCTTTTCCCCCTCCTTCCCCGGCCTCCAGTGTCAACCTGATTCTCCTGATGACTAACCAAACTAAACTCCGCCTCCTCCAGATGACATCAGAGTAAGTTTTTTTTACCAGGACTGTAAACTTTTATCACAGAAACATCCGGACAAACCGTCGATGCTGACGATTCACTGTACATTTTTCTTTTTCTTTTGTGTTTTTTAATGATTGCATGTCTTTATGTGTTTGCTCCGTGTTCTGTTGGATTTTTTTTTGTTGGAATTTTTCACTGTCTCTCCGAGATGAGAGGATCACCACCTGCAGGTGATGAGCTGTATATTTGTTTAGCTGTCTCATAATAATAGTTCACTTTGAATTTTAACACACACAAAAAAAAGTGATGAATTCCGTTTCTGGAGAACAGGTACGTTTTTAACAAGGACTCGTTTTACTAATAACGTTCGGTCGACTCGTTTAGTCACGAGGAGCCGAACGGGTTTGTGAGATAATGTAAATATGACGTTGTGTCTGGGAGAACTTGACTGTTACTGTCACTCCGACTGTTGCAGGAAGATTCGACTGTTACTGTCAGTCAGAACTCCGACTGTGTCCTGTTGTCTTAAAATGTTGAATTTCTGTAGGACGTAATGTAGTTAGGAGTGGACACCAGCAGAGGGCGACAGTCTTACTTACTACGGATCCTACCCTACCCATAATTCCCAGTGTGCATCAGTCCGTTCTGGTTGGTGACGTGTCGTGGTGTCAAGCTCTCGCCGTCCATCTGACAGGTTAGAATTTTTCCCCGAGCTGGACACAGTCGGGTAGCATGAACCGATGATTGAGCCAACTGTGATGACAGCCAATGGAAAAACAACGAGAGGCTGGGACACAGGAAGTAGAGTCAGAAGACAGCAGGAAGTGAAAGAATATCAGAACAAGGACGGTATGAAGTGGGAGGGAGAGAGGAGACGGGGGAGAGGGGGGAGGAGGAGGAGCAGGGTCTGTGGACTGTTGGATGAAGGTCAGAGGTCAGAGGTGGATGTCTTCATTTGTCTTTAGGCTTTGCCCGATCCTGAAGTCTGTAATGATGATGATAAAGATGATGATCGTCATCGTCAGTCTTTTCAGTTGCACTAGTGTTGTCTGCTCTTCATCACCGACACCGTCACTGTCTGTGATGCACTGCTGACCCCTAGCTGACCTTCCCGCCATGTCGGATCAAATTTTTTTTTTATTTGCCACTGAAGACAAACAAAAAAAACCAACCCTTTTTTGGGTTCAAAATGTTAACTTTAGGCCACCTAGTGGTCTTCAAAAGAAAGGCGCGATAACGACACCATGTGACGTTACCACTAAAATGTCGCTCCATGCTAATAGCGTAGCTCGGATTCTGCGTACAAACACACTGATTTAGCTTCTTCCTGGAAGTGTTTAACTGCTGTCAGAGCTGAAGGCCTGGTACGTCCAGCCAGGTCAAAGGTCACGTCTGGAACACTTGACTTTGTTGGATGTTAAAGAGGAGACGCTGTTGTTTTTTTTTATTCTACTGCCGTTCTGACCGTTTTACTTCATCTTGTTGTTGTAACTGTGATTTTAATGTTTGTGCTTTTATTGTGAAGAGAAAATGAAGGATGGGTCAGTGCGCATGCGCACGTGTGTTACGTACTGTCACCATGAAGGTTGTTCGGGGCCTGGGCTGTTACTTCTTACTGGAGGTTTAGTTAATGGTCACATCTCAATGGCTCCCTCAAGATGTAGGTACCATGTCGTCCTGCAGGGGGCAGGGGCGCTCCAAGCAGCTTACCCTTTGGATCTTGCTGTATGTTTTTTTAACTAGTTAATCTGATTAAATCAACACGACAGAGAAGAGTCCTGTTCACTGAAGGAACTGATTATTAACAAGAGGAATGTTCTAGATCTCTCTAAAGTTCGAACCTAAATCTGTAAAAAGTGACAGCCCTAACTGGCGCCTGATTGAAAATGTGAAGTTTGAATCGGAATTTTATTTTATTTTTTTTAATTTTTATGATGGTACTACATGAACATCTGTGTCAAAGTTTGGACGATTACTGTAAAGCACTCTGGGACAGTGTGTGTGTGTGGGGGGCGGGGTCTTCTTCACGTCCATCACTCACCTGTCACTCAAGGTCACTTTTTGTAGTAGTGTGATGAATATGTTTAGACCAAAACGACCACGTTCGGACGACGATGTTGCACAGTCCATTCTAAACACGAGAAATATGTTTTTTTGTTTTTAAAAATAAATAAATGTTTCCTTTAAGAACGAAGCAATTTTTTTAAAATAAATGTTTCCTTTAAGAACGAAGCACTCCAGTTCCACAAGATGGAGGTTTGACATTTCGATACGTTTGGTATCCACGTTACCACGGAAGTTGATGCTGTTTTCACGTGAAAACAACAATATTGTAAACACTAACTTTTTTTCCGATTGTCTTTTTTTTCCTGTTGAGAAGAAAACTTTTTAAAATTCATAATAAATTATTTAAAACATTCCACTTCTGTGTCCTGTGTCAATGTTTTTCATATTGTATTTTAATTTTTCCTGCTTCCGTTGAAATTCCTAATGTCTTCCACATTTTCAGTAACAAACGTCAACTCTATTTTCTTCTCGAATGTTCAACTGGACCGAAGTGAACTGAACATTTTATTCATTTATTCAAACTTTGTTTGAGTAGAGTTTTTTCGTGGTGACGAAGGCAACAATAATGGAGTCCGGTTCGCAACAAATGACTCGAAAATAAACTGAACGGTACCAAAAGACGAACAACTTTCAACGTAAATGACGATTTTATTTATAATTATTAGAAACAAGTGGTTAAACACTTTCTTTTTTTAATCAGTATGACTAATTTAAATCTAAATTAAAAAACTCAAACCAGTTTGCCGGCGGCGGAATAGGAGAGGAGAGAATATTTTCCCAGGATGACCAGGACCTTTAACCAATCAACCAACGAAGACTACCTGTATCGACCAATCAGAGGGAAGGAGGGCGGGTCATATGGTCCTGGTGTTGTTAACGGAAACAGCAGACGGACAAACTCGATATTTCGATTTCTCGGACGGAGACACGACCAACAGGAGGGAGAGTGAATTAAAAAACAAAACAAAAAAACATTTTATAATCGAATACAAACTACATTTCGAACAAAACCACATTCTGAAACCGAAAAACAAACCAACCGTGGCTTATAAAAAAGCGGACCTGGACAAACGTGCGCGAAGTCGGTGGTGTCGAGGCGGAAGAGGTTTGTTGTTTGATTTTACACACGTGCACGAGCACGTACACGGTTGTTGTTATTTTTTTTTTGTTCCCCAAAAGGACAAAAACGTCGGTCATTTTTTTTAAGAGACACCTGGCGGACTAACAGTCAACTATAGTTTTGAATGGAGACGCGGGGAAACGTCGGAGTCTTCTGTTGTTTCAGTCGGAGTTTCAACAGTGACCGTTTAGTCCAAGAAGAAACGACGACGAACGATCGAAGATACGGAAACAAATGACCAGGACTCTAGAGGGCAGTGTTTGAACGACGAGTCTGCAGCAGACCGGACTGGTCCAAACAGAACCAGGTGAGCGGCTTTATTCAGTCTTTCTCATTGTCCCCCCCCCCCCCCCCCCCCTAGCTTTATTCAGTCTTTCTCATTGTTTTTCCCTCCCTGGTTAGTCTTCTAGTGACAAGCGGTACCGGGGGTTCTCAAACTGTGGTCTGCATACCTCAGGTGGTACATATTCTCCCTTATTTAACCATTGGATCTCATACTATCAATCGAGTAGAGAGTATGGTTTATTTACTAATAATTTTTTTTTCTGTGTGATTTTTACCAGGATGGGGAACAGCAGCAGTGACAGGACCAGCGGGGGGCAGCCTGGAGGCAAAGAAGCCCGCTCTAACATCCTGATCGACAGCAGTGAGGACGCAGATCTGTTCCAGAGGGAGGACTCAAAGGTGTCTGCTCCGTTATTTAAACTTGTTTATGGAAAATGTTGTTACGCAGATGTTGAAATGTGTCATTTTATTAGGTTAGTATCAATGAAATAATTTTGTTTTTGTTTTAAATTTGGGGAATGTAGCGGCGCATCGTTAATCGGTTAAAAATCACTAAAAATGTGTTACAATTCGCATCGGTTGAAGTAAAAAATCAGGGCATAAGGAGTAGACTGAGTTACTGGTCATACCATGAGACTACACACTCCAATACAGTAGGTGAGAGAACGTCGGCTGTGTAAAATGTTGAAGTGAAACAGCGACCCCAACTGTTCTGTCCAGGCTCTGCAGGAGATCCAGGAGTTCCTGGCCTGGCAGCAGGACCTGGAGAGCGACAGCAAGAGTCCAACGCAGGCCCGCCCGACCGTCTTCAGATGGACGGGGGCGCTAAAGAAGTCTTTGTGTCTTTGTGTTCCCCACAGGAACCAGTGTCACCCCTGTGTTTACACTCCCTCAGGCCGTGATGACGTCTAAAACTAGGACCGTCAACAACGTCATCCAGGTGAGGAGAACGGACTTTGAAGTGTTCGATGCCCTCAAGGTGGACTCGCAGGACTCGGCTGACCTCTCAGGTAGGAGCGCCCTCTACTGGTTATTCAAGAAATGACCATTAGAACCACTGTTAGATAGTTGTACTGGTTAAGGTGTGTTGGAAGTGTGGTGGAGGAGTGGTTTGGACCCTGGCCTTACATTAGGATGATCACAGTTTAATTCCCTTGAACTTTCTGTGAGAATGGGTCTGGGTCACACACTGAAATATCGCAACATTTTCTTTCACGATATCGTCTCTATATATTGGCATGGCTATAGTATTGCAATATATCACAATATATATATTGTGTACAGTAAATACAGTAAAACGGTTTTAACTAGGGATGTCTGATATTATCGCCCCGATATTAGCATAATTATGTAATATTTGGCCAAATTTGCTGGAATCGCTTGTAGGGCCCTAAGACGTTTACGACGGTTTTTGGATGCAAACAGCGGCATATATCGGTATCGGTTGATATCGGATATAAGTGTTTGAATAATTCTGGACATCCCTACTTATTAACGTCTAACGACTAAAGCGCTAACTTGTCGTGTCCTGTCATTGGTGCCGCTCAGACCTGTCCAGTTCTCCTCCGGGCCCCTACCAACAGGACGGGTACGTGGTCAAATCGGAGGACAAACTCAAACACCCCCCCATCCTGCCCCCGCACCTGCTGCAGGTGCTGCTCAACAAGGACACGGGTATCTCTGTAAGTACACACCCGGACTCCGGGTCCGATCCACCATGGAACCAGTTCAAACCAGTTACACGCTCTAACATCCTGCTGCTCCGTTAGTGTGACCCCACGCTGCTCCCGGAGCCCAACCACATAATGTTGAACCACCTGTACGCCCTGTCCATCAAGGTAACGCACTGTCCGTCACCACGGTCATCCGTCGGCCTAACTTGATAAATATGTCCGAACGTTTTTCTCAGGATGGCGTGATAGTTCTCAGCGCGACGCACAGATACAAGAAGAAGTACGTGACCACGCTGCTGTACAAACCCATCTGACGCCCCAGTGACCTTTGACCTGTGGAGCTTTCTGAGGAGACAACTGAACCTAAAGTGAAGCTAACGAATCGTCTTATTTTTTTGTTTTAATCTTAAACGTAATTGAAGCTGTCGTCGTTTTAAAATTCCCGTATCTTTCCGTTGCTGCACTCGTACGGTTTAGACCAATGAGCTGTGAGAAAATCGTCAGGTGATCTGTGTAACAATATCCATTTTCACCTAATTTCATTTCATTTGCCGCAAATGATTCGTTTTCGCCCGTCTGTGCCCCAGTGACAGGCAGAACAATTCAATTCTCTCTTCCACTAGGGGGCAGCAGAAGGCTGTTTAAAAACTTGAATTTAAAAATAGAGACTTGGAAGTGGTGTTCCTTTCTTTAATTTCTGTGAGTATATCAGCTCTGTGTTCAACTAAACAGGACTTTGCAATAAAGATGATTTCAAGTGTACGTATTTGAGTATGACTTTCTCAAACCAGGCGTTAGCAGCAACATAAACGGTACCTTCAACTTTGGTTACGGAAGAAGATGGACATTATAGATGTATTGATGTATTGCGACAAATGTTTGAGATTCAAACTGGTTTATTGGTCAGTACAGGGACGGCCATTGACCGCAGTGGACGTCTGGGTCCAGGTTCTTGTTCTCCAGGTTGTACGTGTTCCGGGCGACGCAGTGAGCCGCCACACAGTCGCACTCGCACACAGCAGCCTGGCACTGGTCGTTGGTCGCTGTAGGAACGAGAGGAGACCGACGTGATGCAGATGGTACTAGGAGGGGGGGTGACCCTCCCACACCTTGGCCCCAGTGTCCCTACATAAGGCACAACATTGGAGTAATGTTCTGTCTGTGCGCTCTAGCTAACGGTGCGTTCAAGTTGCACATGAATGTCGGAATTTCCAGCGTTAAATGTCATTCTTTCTTATTTAGACATAAAAAAAATCCAAGTACACGACACCCATATAAAAACATAAATACTTAATATATATAAAACTACGGGCATATATATGTGTGCATGTGTATATATGTGTGTTATTATATTATATTATAGAGTGGTTTTGCTGACAGTCTGCCCCCTGCAGGTTGTTGTCACTCGGATACATTTTTTAAATGTTTTTAAACGAACTGCAAAAAAATAATAAACGTCACAATCTTGATTTTGTTCTCGGTGATGCAACACCGCCCCCTAATGGTACTTGATCAAATCTGATTCCTTTTGAGATCGAAGAGTCCCTTAGTAAACCAGAAAACTCAGAACTTCAGAGGTCAGAGTTCAGAGTAAACCCAGGCCACTCAGTCCTGAATCAGGAAAAAAAACTGGCGGAAGTAGGAATTAGCATAAATCAATAAAAAAAGAATGTGAGTTCCTCAGTCTTACCTGAACACGCCACCTGCCGGTTGGAGCAGGTAAAGTCATAATCGATGACGTAAGGAAGGTCGGCGACCCCCGAGCACCCGGGTATCTTCCTGCTGGCTTCGTAGCAGTGGTCGTGGAGTTTACAGCACCTGTGGAGAAAGTCACCGTCTGTGAGGGACCGACCTCTGACCCCCAGAGTCCCCCGCGGAGACACCTACTTGTCTAAGTCGTCCTGAGGAGTCCCCTGTCCACCGAAGCCACACCAGCAGCCGTAGTTGTTGTACATCAGTGGGTTGACGCCCGGCTGGGCGCACACGATCATCGTCCCAAAGTGCCACATGGCTTTGGGCGGCAGGGCGCCACCTGCCAGGCAAGCTAGGGGGAGACGGAGAAGAAGAGTGAGAGGTCAGAGGTCACACACGTGTCACGGTGACGATGTTCTGTCAGTGCGGTGGATCAGTGGCACCTGTGAGCAGCAGCAGCAGCAGCAGCAGAGGCTTCGTCAGAGGCATGACTTCAGGCAGAGAAACCCACTGAAGCCCACTGCTGGGCTGCAGCCCACTCTTATAGCAGTGACGTGGGACAAAAGTGGAGATAATAGGGAAAAGAAAGCTGCTGTAACCAACGGACCCGGAACATCACGTACGCCGCCCGACCGCCACGCCACGCCATGACATCACTGCGTTTTCATTGAGCTCCTAGTGACACTTGTTAGACTGGAGACTTTTTTTTTTTTTTAAACCTTGTTGGTACTTTCTAACAGTTTTACTGAGTGACTGTACTGCAGTACACACAGCCTGAGAAGTTTCCACTTAAACCACGTGTGGCAGCGACGAGCTTCGGTCACGTGACCGCAGTGATAAGAAGAACAAACTCGCACACTGCTTACACAACGTTGCTGCAGTAAAACACACAGCTGTTGGTTGTATGAATGTGGACCAAAAAAGAACGTACTTCCTCCGTCTTCTTCTGGTACCGATTTACTCAGAACTGACTCCCGAGCCTGTTCAGTTTAACACGGCAACAATAAACTAACAGGAATTGAAGAAAGACACTCCTTTAACAGATGTTAGTTTCTCTATCTTTTTTATTTTTTTAGCCATCTGGTGCCACCTAGTGGGATAGAATTAAGTGTCACATGGAGCAAAAGCAAATTATTTTCAGTGAATGAAATAATAATATGAGATGAAACTTGATTATTTCCCAGGGTGCACCTGGAAAAATGGCTTTCATGTTTGTGCAGTTCCCGGTCCTACCACTGAAGGCAGTGGATGCGATTTGGTCAGTCCTTTTAGAGCGTACTTCCGGTAGCTAAGTAAGGCAGAAGTGATAATGACGGCTCTCGGACGCATGGCTAGCTCCTTGCTGAGGTCTTCTACCACTCAGACCCGGCGTCGAATTTCCGCCTCTGCGAGTCATGACGACCAAAGTAATTATAAAAAACCCTCGAAAACTCAGACGCTATTTGTTTTCTTCGTATCTTCGTTTAACAGTTAATTATTTAACAGTGACCTTGCGGCGCTAGTGTTAGCTCTGTTAGCACTAGCGGTAGCGTCACCTAACCTATGGAATACGCTGCTGTGACTTTTTCAGCACTTGTACGCTCGTGTTTCGGCCTATAACTCCAACCAGTCGCGTATAAATGTTTGAATTAAATCGGTATAAGTCGTGTTAATGTATAAAGTATATAGAACAAACAATATGAGCTGTTTTTGTGAACCGTAAGCAGAACAACATGGCAACATAGCGGCTAATACAGTCACTTAAGGTCGCGGTGAAATGCAGTTGTACTTTTTTTATTTTGCCACAGAATATGATGATATACATTTAACAAATGTAATTTTTGAATTATATATTTATATAGTCTGAAAACAACAGAACGTTGTAGCCGTTTGTTTTCTCTGCTAAACTCTACTAAAAACCTGGCGAACGTCTTCAGTTGCTTTGCTAATTTAGCTACAGCTTCGTAGACATTGACTTTGACTAAACGCGAGTTTTTAGCTGAAAATGTTCACATAATATTTGAGTCTGGTCCAGTGACGGACAGCTGACCTGTTTTGTCCACTTATGGTTTTTGCTACTACGTCACAACTGAACCAGTGTTGTTCCTCCAGTGACCTTTTATTTCCGTTATCACTGTTGTTTTTTTTCACGACAAATTCTAAAATTCTACAAATAATTTAACTTTATTTACATAATTTTAACTTAATTTTTCCCACATTAAATTAAGCAGCATTATCTATAACCATTATTATTAATTATAATATAATAATATATATACTTTAAAAAATCTGCTTTATTGATTTAATAATATGTTTTGCATTTCTATTTTTTTTCTTTCTTGCAGCTAACAAATGGAAGATGCTCAGTTACTTCGTTGCCCTCCCTGGTGTGGCAGTGTGCATGCTCAACGTGTACCTGAAGCACCAGGAGCA